CTTGCAACAGCGACGTCATCCTCAACTCTGGCGACTTGAGTGCTACAGCTGGCTGGCGTCAAACCGAGGAGCACACCCGCCCAGCTCCGCACGCCAACGATGTTTCTCCTTGGAAGCAAGTCGAGGGCTACACCCGTCGCAGACGGCTGTACGACGGCGGCCTGTCTGCATATGATATATGGCAGGGCCGAAGCACATAATTGTTTCTCCATCATTATAAGTCATCATATTATGCACAAAACATGCCTTTCAACTTCAACCTGCCCCTGCAGTCATGCATCTGGTACATCTGGGCGTGCTCCGCGACCTCCTGGCTTCTGTCATGTTGGAAACTTTGCGGAACGGTCTCCGGGAGGCAACAAGAGCAGGAGCTTGATGTTTTTTGTGTCATTATCTCGCTCAGGACTCTGTGTAGCTGTAGCTCCGTAGAGATATATAGCTCCGCCAGCCCGTGAGGTGAGATGTCCAGGTTTTTGGATTTGCAGGACCAGTCGCCAAAGCCGAATGAGATTCTGTACCGGTTCACATCCAGAGCTCAAGCGTGGTGCAAGGAAAGACGATTGGATCTTGGAATAAATCCGATCACAATGGACTCGCTGAATGCGACGCTGAAATATCCTGAATTGAGCTCCACGATCAAAGCATCGAGATGCAGGAATCTTTTAGCCTTCGTCACCCACTTCGCCGTGGAGCTCGAGAAACAGCTCGACCCGGACGATTGCAGTTCCGAGACAGCTCATTGGAGAAGGGCCCGTGCCTGTATGCTGTGGTCTCTCGATGCTGCCTTGTCTGTGGCTGGGACCGCCCACAAGCCCCACATGACCGATGGAGAAACAGAAGAATCCGTGTGGCTTTTCGAAACCTTCCTGCTCTTGTACCAATACGCAGCTGCCCGTGCATATGGACTGTCTCAATTACTTTACAAGATGAGACCAAAGCACCACTATGCATCTCACATGATCGCAGAAGTCGCGCAAACAAAGCTGAACTTTATGCACTGTTCCAACTTTGGTGACGAAGACCATATGAAGTATATGAAGAAAATTGGCTGTTTACTGATCACTCTTGTCTGTCCCTGTCTGAACTTATTTGTTGTAGTTCGAACCCTTTTTGGGCATGCAGCTGTTCAGTCAATCAGCTAAGGAGTGTGGCTGCTGGATGCCATGCGGCGGTGCAACTGGTATCTTGGGCTCGTCGCTACATCACATTGAAGAGCTTTCAATGGTCCCGCATGATGAGATAAAAAGTGCTACGAGTGATCACAGTCCCCTGGTTTAAAGTCAACACTCGAGAGACATAAAAACAAAATGTCCTGGATTCCAGGACGTATACGGTCCAAAAAAGTGATATAAGAGTCTAGCATGCAGCTGCTCGACCTTCCAACTAAAACCCACCAGAGCACCACAAAACAATAATGCCCAAAACGCAAAGCTACTACGTCACAGACCGACCCCGGTGCTGACGATTCTTGCCAAACCAGCATGATTTCTAAACCCTTTATGAATTGGAAGCCCTAAATCTCGGTTGCAGCATATTCCCGCCGCCATGGCGATTAAGTTACAAGCGTCAACAAAAGACCATGCTCCACTACCAGCCATGCTCCGCTACCAACGTAAAACCCGTTCAGGTTTCCCCTAAGACACCGAAGCTCGAAAGCAAATTGCAGTTGAATCCATCCCGTAGGGCACACGCTGCATGCCGGCAAACATGACTTAGTTGGTCGGTCGGTCTGCAGTCGGTCGGTTGTGCATGCTTGGAATTCGCATCGACGTTGCCTTGGAATGCTTGGGTGCTTGTGCTTAGTTGGTCGGTCGGTCAGTCGGTCGGTTGTGCATGCTTGGAATTCGCATCGACGTTGCCTTGGAATGCTGGTGGCATGGTTGTTCCAGTTGCTTTGCTGTATACCTTGAGGGTGTTGTCGCCCTTGCTTGGGATTCGTCGGTCGGTGAGTTGGGAATTGATGTGCATTGATGTGCTTGATTGATCGACTGCGTGGTTGCTCCAGTTGCTCATGGAATTGTTGTTCTTGCCTTGAAACACTTGAGCGTATCGCACTGGGATTCATCGGTTGCTTGCTTGGTTGCTTGTTTGGTTGGTAGGTTGCTCCAATTGCTCAGGGAAGTGTTGAATGTACCTTGAAACACTTGATCGTGTCGCACTTCATTGGGATTCATGAGTTGCTGGCTTGGTTGCTTGCTTGGTTGCGATTGCTTTGTCTGCTGTGGATGCGAACGCAACCATGCAAGTACAGCACTAACATCGTCAAAACGCCGCGTCCACTAAGGTCGTCAAATTTAATCCCTGAACTATCGTCGCGGGACTCGGGTAAATATCGTCGGGCTCTGGAAATATCGTCGGGGGTCGGGAAAATATCGTCAGGACTCTGGCATATATCGCCGGGACTCCGGAAATATCGTCGGGACTCGGGAAATATCGTCGGGGCTCCGGAAATATCGTCGGGACTCGGGAAATATCGTCGGGACTCCGGAAATATCGTCGGGATCCATAAATACGTCAAAATATCGTCGGGATGTTACTTGTATTTGAAATATCGTCGGGATCAGAAAAATATCGTCAGAGTCCAGGCAACCCAGGTCTGACGATATAATATCGTCAAAAGCATGTCCAGGTCGACAGCGACAGGCGCACGCTTCGCATCTCGGGCGCTGATGCTGTCGCAGGCCGGGCCACACGCAGCACCGATCAGCACGGGGTCTTCCCAACTTCCGCGGAGTTAACAGTACCATCGCCGCTTTTCAGTGTTTTCCTGCTGCGCCGGCTCCGCCTGCCGCTGCCGCTCGCTCCGCGCTCGTGCGCCTGCCGTGGACGCCTTGACCCTCTTGGCGACCACAAGGCGGCACCTCTGGCGTGCTCGCATGGCGCTCCCTCTCGAGCGTGCCAGTAAGCTGGAGCGCAATTTGCCCCGCAACGTTCGCTTAGCAGACAAGAACATCGATGTCCCGGTCTCTGACGACCGCCGCATCGAAGTCGTCGCGAACGGGCTGTCGTTGTGGCATGGCTCGAAGCAAGCAGTTGATGCCACCATCTTGAGCACCGTCACGCGGGCTGGAGCGGCCAGCAGACGTGCATGCCGGGCGAGCTGTCGAAGAAGGAGCCGCTCGACGCAAATACCACCAAACCTACCCGTGCGCGCCCGACGTTGCCGCTTTGTGGTGGTCAGTGTTGAAGGGGGAGGCCGGGTTGGGGGCGGAGGCTGCCAGCTGGCTCCGGATGCTCGCCGGGCGATGTGCTTCGAACACACAAGCTGACTTGCGGCGAGTGGCTGCGCGTGCAGTTTGCGTTGCCCGCTGCTCGGGGCTACCATCTATATACAGTAGCTGTCGCTGCACAGCGCGCCATCGCAGCATCTCTGTTGGAGCTCCCACTCGCCGGCGAATGCACGCTCCATAGGACACGGTAGATGCCTCGAGACTTTCTCGCGGCCGGTAAACAGCCTTGTAAAATAAAACTCCTGGAGGCAGCAGTTGTGGCGCCCAAGTTGTTTCCTTCGCTCAAAGGCTCCGGGCCAGGGCTGCTTCCGTTTGCTATCAGTTACTATGCCTGCACGTCGTCCGTCCGAGGTTTATGTGTACCGAGCTACCCGCGCACGCTTCTTTACGTAGGCTCGCCGACCGCGGCTTATTTTTTCTAATGGCCTAACCGTTTTGGGAAGTAAGGCTTGGGCACGTCTGGCAGAACTTGCAACGTTTTGGGCCGGGCCCCCGCGCTGAAGCCCTCGAATTCCAGCGGCTCGTCGGGGTTCCCCGAAAAACGAAGAACCCAAAGGATTGTTAGGGGGTAGCTCAGGATTCGTGAGAGCTCTGCAGACCGTCGAATGCTGTCTCTCACTGCTACTCTATCTTCTACATTCAAATCCAGTGTTGGCCTCCTCGGCCGCACGCGGTGTGAAATAATTTCCTATGGGCCTGAGCCTCTGAAAGCCTCGCAAGCCCTTCAAATCACTGGCCAAGATGTACCTCGCGATCCTGAAACAATTTCCAGGTGGTTCGACCCTGCAAGAGCTCTGACATGAAACCCGGGCCGAAAAAAAATTCCCGGCCTAGGCCCCTGGTTTTTTTTTGCTCCTTCCATCTCCTTCCCACTTCCTGTCCAGTCAGCAGGGCCTACAGGAGCCCAAGGCCAACACGCTACCTAGGGTCGCAGCGGCAGGCGGCTCGGCTCTTCGGCCTCGGCGAGGTCGAGTACGCGGTCGAGCGGGGGGCCCTCGACGCTGCTGGCATGCGGCGGCTGTGGCTGTGGTTGTCCCGCGCGCGTCAGCGGCGATACCACTTGAAGGATCGTCTTGTTTAGTATCCGAATGGGCGGGTTGCGGTGGTTAGTAAAGCCTGCAAGTGAACTTATAATCGGGCTATCTTGACTTATAAGTGTACCATGTTGGGTAAGTGTGTTATTGAACTTAGTAAGTGAGCGAGGGTGGTTATAAGTAGTTGTTTGAGTTAATAAGCACTTAGCACATTTATAACTGACTTGGGACAAATGCTGTAAGTGGAAGATAAGTACTTGGACACGGTTATATCGGTTATCTAAGTCATTTATAAGTACTTATATAAGTACCCTAACTTCATCGGGGCAAAGCATTTGCAGGTCGGTGCAGCTGGTGGTTGCCGACGTCGACGGCATCGAAAGGTGCTTCCACCCCCCGCTTCTTTGCAAGTGATGAGTTCCGTGTTCCGAGCATGTTTGGCCATGTCGAGACTCCCATCATGAGAGACATGCAGTCATGCTTGCAGCTTTCATGCAGTGTTTGCATGTATGTGTATACACTTGCAGTCTTTGCATCACGTGTATATGCAGTGGTATAGATGCCCTGCATGTGTATAGGGAGTCGTCGTGCAGGGCAATTTGCTCGCCGGCAGGCTGCCACGACATTCTTGCATGACTTTCAAGCTGACAGTTCATATCTGCATGCAGCATCTTGGCTGTGAGAGCACTTACTGCACACACACACACACACACACCGACCGCTTCCGAAACACAGCATGGCTTTGTCTGCTGAGCTCGTTGCGGACATCTCGTTCAAGCTGGCACAGGTGCAAGAGGGCGATCGACTTGTAAAGACGGTGCATGCGGCTATCAGCCAGCTTGAATCGCAGGGCCACGTCTACACGACGCAGCTTCAACCGACCATGGTCGGGATCAGTTCCCAAAACCGTGACGGCAGCGGCATCAATCCTGTCGATGTCCACGATCTTTTGGGCGACATAGTTCAAGCCGGCTGGCTTGATGCCAGGGTTCAGGCTATCGCCCATGAGCCAACTGGGCAAGAGGACATCGATTGGAATGTCCGTCTGTTCGAAAGCATGCATGATCGCTGTGGGCCCCTGGAGCCCACGATGATCAAAGCACTCTCCCTGGCAGGGTCACACACAAACTCAGTCTTGCGGTGCTTCCACTATGAGGTCATGCATGAAGGAGACGAGACCGTGTGTCATGATGGAAGACTCAGCATGGAGCTGCTTCGGCGGCACGATCCGGACTTCGCGAGGGCGGTTCGCGAAGGAGTCGTTTGGAAGATCTTGTCAAAGCACGTCAGCTGCCGCAGCTGTTGGGGCTTGTCCAAAGGATGGGCAACGCCACACTTCACCGTGGCGAACACGAGCTCCAACTGATGAGACGGCTGCATCAGACTTGGGTCCAGATGAGCTCTCAGGGTTCTGTGGACTTCCTGGCACTGAAAAGCAAAGTCACCACGGGGAAGTCCGTGCATGGCAAGTCCATGCCGCATCTTTACAGTTTCGTGTTAAAGACTGCGGGTGGCACAGATCCGTTCTTGCTCAACGAGACTGAAACCTTCGTTAGGCTGCATTCCCCCAGCACACGTTCATTGGGACCTGGTTTCTGGGAGAAGGTCAGTGCCGATGTCAAAGGTTCCAACCAATTCCCACGGTTCCGGCATGCCATGGCCACTTGATTCATAAGCATGCATGCATGTACAGGTCACATATGGGATTGCAAGGCCGAGGTTGCTAGTTGTTGTTGTTGTTGTTGCTGCTCTTAGGTGAAGCTTGCATACTGCAAAGAAGCTGTGGGGTCTGCCAAGTGCAAGAAGATGCTGCACAAGGATTCAACGGCCTCTGTCAAGGAGGCAGACACCATCATGAGCACGTGGCGAAAGCTGGTGACGGCCCTGCCGAATGGCGCAGAGCTTCTCATGAAACCCGAAGTGCAGACCTGCTTGTCCTATGGGGACATGTCCTTGGCTGCCTTCACCCTGAATGTGATGTTGCCCGGTGAAGACTGTATAAGACAAGCCAATCTCTCGCCCATGACCTCGTCCTCATTTTGCAAGGGATCCTCAAAACAGACCTGAATGGGCCCTGGGCGGCACACAAGGTCGCAGATTCGGGTGACGCATCGGGTTCCAAACAGGTTGGAGCACCCAAGGCCATCATGAGGGAGCTGAGCTCCGACGGCTCAGTGAAGGATTCAGCGCTGATGCTGGAGGAAGCCGGCTTTTCTGTCGGCCAACATGTCCGCCGAAAGGCGGACCAGGAAACGGGCCAGTTGATGGCCATGGAGCTTGGCCGTGTCAAGTTGAAGCAGCCCTCGGGGTCCATAGTGCGGGTGTCGATCGACAGCTTCCTGGCAGGGCATTGGCAGGTGTTCACACCCAAGCCGGAGCCCCAGACGGTGGATGACTTGTCAGTGTACTCGCCTTTGAACTTCCCCGAATACGAGCGACAGATGCTGTTGGCATGCTTGTACATGGACATGCATGAGCTCATGCAAAAGCACGAAACGAATCCCATGCTGCAGAAGCTCAAGGTCACTTTGAAGCCTCGTAAGTCAGTCCAAGCCACCCGAAAAACAAGCTCAGCATGGTCCCCATGGGTTTGACGATCAAGCACGGTCAGAAGAAGCCCGAGGATGCGATTTTCGATATCATCACCCCCATGAGTGACTACTTCTTCTGGATTGTTTCGTTCATTCAGATTCCGAAAGCCGAAGGGGATGCTGGCTTCATCAATCCTGCATTCCTTGTGCAGCCGCTTCCCGTGAGTGACACTTGGAATTGCGAGGTTTCGCATGTCAAGTCCAATCGAGACAAGAAGGTTCAACTCCCCATCCTCAAGAACACCCTGGACGTGCAGCAGGACGATGTGCTGTATATGCCAAAGGCCGAGAAGACTGTGCACGTCGAGGCCTTGCAGGCTGAGACCCCGGCCAAGGAAGCGAATCTGCTCCAAGAAGCCGGGAGACTCCTGAAGCCCGCGTGTGATGCATCCCATGCCATTTTGTATGCAGCTGTCCTATAGAGCTCACGGGCACTTCCTCCATTGCTTTGAACCATGCAGCAGCTGTGCTGCTCACCACGATCCATGCACATGAAAGAACATGCACTTGCAGCCTGCAGGAAAGATGCCCGAGCCCGTGTATGTGTGCAAGTGTGCATGATTGCGAGCACGATTGCATGTAAAAGCGCCAAAAGCCATGGCATTCATGATTGCATGTCATTCACGAAGTTTTGCAGCTCCAGCTTCATCCGTGATTTCGTAGCTTTGCCAGCATGGAGCAGGAAGATCAGGAGATGACCGAACCAACGGTGGTGACAAAACAGATCGTCACATACGGGTCAGGGCTCACTTGGATCCCGGAACAAAAGACGGCCGAGGGAGTCACATGGTTCAAAGTGAGCAAGTGGGATCGAGGATTGTTTCGGTTCGTGTACGGCAAGGGCTTGGATCTGAGGAAGAATACGGACAATCAAAACCAGTCATTCGACACACCTTTCTTCGAGAACATGTTGGCCCAGAAGCATTCAACGAGGCTATCTCCGAAAGACCCAAGGATGAAGAGAATGACGAAGCCCCACAGCCGGAGAAGGCCCAGAAGAAGACCAAGAAAACCAAGGAGTTCAAAGCTACACAGAAGCATGAGATTTATGCACCCCACAGCATTCAGATTCACTTGCCCGGCGAGACCGAGGATGGCAACAAGGTCCAATGCCGAACTTTGTTCGAGGGGATGGGCACTCGGACTATGTGGCTGGAACTGAAGGACGATGTCGTGAAGCACATCCAGACCAGCTTCAAGCATTCTGAGGCCAAGCCACGAAAGACGATCAAGCCTAGAAAGGCCAAGGCCTACAGGAAGTAGGTTTTTCGTCAGCAGGGCAATTTGCTCGTTGGCAGGAACTAATATATCATGCATGCACATGTCGCATAATTTTCTCTCGCTGGCATGCAGGAACTTCATGTGCCAAATATGCCGGTTGCTGCACCTGCTTGCTTCCTCGTGGTGCTCGGTTTGTGTGCATGTGCAAAGGTCTTCTCATGTATCGGTTGCAACATGTGGCTCAGGCTTTTAGCTTTTTGGGTGTGCAGCTGTAGCCCGTATAGACCATGTCGTGCACGGGTTATAGCTGCATGAACGGCCCTGATGTGGAGGAGGCCTGGCTCCTGTCTCCCATGCAACCAAAAAGATGAAGTCACTTTAAGTGTGGTGGGCTTTTGACCGCTGCGGCCTCCTCGAGGAGTTGGTGCCGAACGAGGACAGCCGATTCCCAGCTGATGCATGGGTTCCACACATGTCATGCAGGACGACACCTTGAGCAACACCTCCTGTGTCCTTGGATGGCACAAGCAGAAGAGGAAGTGGCGAGTCCTCGACATGCAAGGCCGGGGATGTGCCATTGTCCCACATTTTCATCGTCTCTTCTCTGCAGGCAACCTCATCTACAAGCACGACAGCTGCGAGGAGACACCCCCGAACGAAGGCATGCAGGTTTTTACAGGGTTGTGTTTTCAAGGGTTTCGGGTTTTCTAGAGTTTAGGGTATATATGGGTTCATGGTTTATGGTTTATATAATATATGGTGTTAGACGGAAAATCAATATATGCACGTATATATATATATATATATATATATGTGTGTGTGTGTGTGTGTATGTATATATTATATCTATATAATGTAGGTGTGCAGCATGTGTACACACAAAAGGCGCTCAGGTTCCTAACTTTTACATATTTGTGTTTATACATACATACATACACACACACACACATCTGTACACACATGTATGTGTGTATGTATGTATGTATGTATGTGCGAGACACACACACACATATATATATATATGTATATAGATTTATACACATATATATATATACATACATACATACATATATGTTATATACTGTATATACACACTACACAGTACAACCACAAAGGCCAAAAGCCTTCAATCAAACATGAAAACCCCCAACCCCGAGCCTATATATGCTATCTCAGTCTCGGCAGGTTGGCTGTGCCAGGATTGGGATGGCAAGTGGTGCCCGGCTTCGCTTGTGCTCCAGGCCCGGGCCTAGAGCAAAGAAGTGAACTTCATGTGTGTTTCTGTGTGTTTCGATCTGGTGTGAGGAGATCGATGCAACGGGGCTGGTAGTTCCGAAGGACTGCCACTTTACACACAAGTATGTGCAACATTGCTTTTCCGAATCTGCAGGAGGAAAAGTAGGCCGAGGAGGGCACCAAGGACTGCTATATAGTTCACAGATGTAAATATGTGCAGCAGAGACAGCATTTCCCGTCTTTGCCGACCTCTCTGTTCTTATAGCGGACGAGGCAGCCCTGAAACAAACAGCTGAAAGCAAAGGTGCCTCGGGCACGGTGTTTTGTATGAGATGTGCGAATGTCGTTGCCCACCGAAGCGGGCTACAGGACCATGGCGGTGTTCTCTCGTCGACATGCACTGACTTCACGAAGTTTCGCTTGCACACGAACCGGTCGGTCGGCGAAATCATGCGGTACCTCTCTTCCCAACATGGCACGGTTTCCCAGAAGGACTTCCAAACAATGGAAAAAGCTTTGGGCTACAACTACATGCCGGGAGGCCTCTTGATGTCGAATGTAGGACACAACATTCCGGAGATGATCATGTTCGATTGGCTCCACATTTACTTGGTCCACGGTGTGGCCGGTAACGAGGTTGGGGTGTTGGTAGGCCGCCTCCGAGACAATGGCTTTCCCGAGCAACAGATACACGACTTCGTGCAATCCTTCCATTGGCCGGTGCAATTCGCTGGTGCGGATGCCAAGTCAGTTCTCGCCAAAAAGCGAGAGGACAAGACTGCCCCGGTGAAAGCAGAAGCCTCCCAACTCCTGAATTTCCTGCCGGTCCTGCAGTTGTTCCTTATCCTCTTCGTCTGGAGGGATGCGGACGACTCCCTGAAGAGTTGCTGTCACGGATTCTTCACCTTGTGCAAAATCCTTCGCATGCTGAGGAAAGCCACTCAGGGTGGCTTGGACCCAGCTGCCCTCAGGGGTGCCATTAAGGAGCATTGCGACCTCTACCTTGCAAATTACGGGGCAGAGTACTGGGTTCCGAAGAACCACATGAGCTTGCACTTACCTGAATTCCTGGCTCGCCACGGGAGGCTGCTCTCATGCTTCGTTCAGGAAAGGAAGCATAAGCTGGTGAAGCGCTTCGCGAACAATATGAGCGACACGTCAAGATCGTACGAAACGACCGTCATTCGGGAAACCTTGGCAACACAATTTCTAGCCATGCAGGACGAACTCCCTCAAGGGGATGTCCATTTGATTGGCAAGAAACGATGCACAAAGGCGATGACCAGTCTCATGCAAGATGTGTTCGGGAAGTCCGATGGTGTGTTGCAGGCACAAGCACAGGAACACATTGTCGGCATGATTCACTTTCATGTTGAGGTTGACGGTCTGCCTTTCACATGCATGAGTCCATGGAGCCATGTGGCCGATCACATGTACCGTGTGAAGCACGAAAGTTTCTTCATCAACACGGGGTGCATTTTTTCGGCTTGCATCTGGTCTCGCAAGGGCGACGATGCTTTGTGTTGTTGGAGTGAATTGCAAACGTGCATGGTCCCGCATGCGAGCCCACGGCCCTGCATTCGAACTCGTGCTGTGCTTCATGTTTGTGTTTACATAAAGCCCTCCCTCGCAGGTGCTGTTGACGTCGGCAACCACCAGATGCTTGGGAATGCAAGGTTTGGGGGGCTGATATATTGGCTTAGGTTGACATGTACTACCTTGTGTTTATGCTCATATGATGTCGGTTTCGGTGTCTACATTCATAACTGGTATGTAGCTCTATTTCGATGTATATGTAATGGTTTGCGAACATGGGCAACTTCGAAGGGCTTCCCCACATAATATGATGGAGCCGGTGATGTGTTGTAAGATGGTCTCGGCTTTAGGGCTTTCTTTCAAGAAAGTTTTCAGCTTGAGGCTGCAGGTTTTTAGCTTTCAAACTTTTCATGTGCTGGTGCATCTTTGCTTTACCCCGAGGGCCTCAATTGCATGCTGTGCGATGCTTTCACGGTGAGCTTCTTCGGTATATGTGTGTATATGTATGTATATAATAGATACAAAATACCATTGCTATATTCATCGTCTTAACTGGGATAACTGACTTAGTCAGCTTACCTAACTGCTCCATCTGGACTTACCTAAGTCCTTTATCTTTCACTTACTAAGTCCATTAATTGGACTTGCCTAACCGCTCTAAGTTTGGCACTAACTTGTATAAAACCACTATCTACATAGTAACCCCCATGATCCTTCAAGCAGTGTAGCATCGCAGCACAGCACGGAACCGCGCGAATTCCGGGTGCGGTAGTGTGGACAAGCCATTGTTGCGGCACCACCTGCCCTTCGGCTCCAACAGCTTCGCGCGCGACACGGACCCACACTCATTACGTTGGCGCGTCGAGCAAGCAAGCCGGTTCGCGGGCAAGCGAGCGCGTGGTCACCGAGTCGGTCGACTTGTGCCCCACAGCCGTGTGTCGGTCCGCATCTGCCGTGGCAGATCGGCAGCGGCATGCGTAGGAGGCGGCGGAGCGCCAGCTGCATGGCTTGGGGCGCAAGCGTCGTTGCTGGCTTGGTGGGTATGGCGGCAAGCGACGCCTCTGCGTGGGGCCCCGATTCGGATCGTACCAGCGCTGGTTTCGAGTACGCGACGCATGAAACTGGCGGGGCCGGGGCTTGTGCGCTCCGCCGATTGCTGTCCCAGGCCGCCCAAGCAAAGTTGCCAGTTCTCGCGCATTCAGAGCTTCGGGTTCGGCTGCGCCCCCGAGGCAATGGTCGAACGTCTGCCACACGGCTTGGTCATGGGCCCGAGCGTAGGCTAGGATCTCCTGCGGTGGCACCGTGCGAAGGGCGTGGTTCGCTCGGGGGGAAACAAACAGCAGCAGAAGCAGCCAGGAAGATTGCAGGTCCGGGAGCTTCGGCAGTTGGCGGAGTAGCCGCTCCTCTTCCTCTAGGCGCTGGCTTGCCC